TGATCGATTCGAACCGAGCAGGCTTGTCTGGTTTTGAGAATTTTTGATTCCTATTATATAACCTATAGTAAAATCATGAACAGTGCCGCAGAGTGACAGCGTCGAACTGACGTATATCTGTAGTCTGTACCAGGTATTCTCTGATAAACTCCGGCCCCAAATCAATGTGCGCCCATTTCATCCTGCGTTCGCGCTCAGAGCAATATCTATGATACTACAATAAGATTAAAGTCTATGATAAGGCTTTGCTATAGCGGTAGTAGCAGTACTAAAGAATACAGCTTGTAAACTTAATGACTCGGCTATATTAACATGTTATCATGGATATCGTCGAGCGCGAGCATCGTGGTGGTGGTTGGAGGAGGGCGGGTGGAGGGGGGCTCTAAGTAGTAATAGCAAAAGCGCAGTTCAGGTCTTTTGTTAACGAGTCAACAAATGCCATGTTTTAACAGGGCCTCTCTTGAGGGTCAAAAGGTTATCAGACACTTACTGTCTTACGCACGTCCAGCGGAAACGTTAGAGTTTCCACGGTCCGTACCTGCACACGCACGCAGGCACGTACGAACGCACGCATGCACGCAGGTGAGCGTGCACACGCACGCAGGTGAACGTGCACACGCACGCACGCATGCACGCAGGTGAATGTGCACACGCACGCACGCACGTGTACGTTCCCACGCACGCACGCACGCACGCACGAACGCACGTGCACGTGCACACGCACACATGCACGCACGCACGCAGGCACGTATACGTGCACACGCACACACGCACGCATGCACGTACGTTTACATACACACGCACGCACGCATGAATGCACGCAGGTGTCTGTGCACACGCACGCACGCACGTCTACGTGCACATGCATGCACGACTTATTCACCGGCGATTTAATCGCCTAGTGTGTCCACTCGACTCGCGCAATAGAATCGGGCGATTTTATCGCCCGATTTAATTGCCCAGTGTGTCCGGCCCTTTATGGCCACTCCTGGTAGACGACAGGGACTCGACTACAATGGCAGGACGCGTTTGGTCCAATTTAGTTGGACTATTTACTTGTTAGCTGGAATTGCGGTGTGGACACAGCAACAGAAAACAACTTCACTACATTCTCTTGAAAATTGGCGTACTTGTACAGCAGCCAAAGCCTGAACACGTTCCCTGCACAGAGGACATCCATCTACTCTACCAGATAGTGTATGAAAAGATCTTGTTCAGGACTTTGACAAGTTTAATGTAGCCTGTAGACAAGCTAGAAATATACACTTGGTTATAATGCTTACAACTGTATTATATGAACATGTTACTGAACTTGTATTTTTTGGTTCGGGTGCAGTGGATATAATCCAATCAAATAATTAAACGCAAAACATATCATTAAAATCATTGAGTAAAATAACGTAATAAGATCTTTATTCTAAGATATAAATCATAGTATTACCACCAGCATTCCTGCGTTTAAGGAAACAAAAAACATTTCACTGATATAGTTATCATATGTATCAATTACACATTTTCTTGTGTTAGCCCATAACACTGTAACATTCGTTTTTGAATGACGTCTGGGGAAAAATCTGCACTCTCAGGAATGACAAATATGACTAAGCTTATGAGGATTATATTCTTTAATCCATATCTATGAATTAATGATCTAGACTATAAGTAAACATTTTATCTAATTAATTATTTTGCATGTCACTTTGTCATACACGTAACAAATTACAATACAGTCATCTGTTCAAAAGGCACAAAACCTATATTTAACAGCTCTTGAATAGTTTTGCAATATAGTGTAAGAATAAACAAACTTATGCGGTTACAGGCATATACCTCAATACTTGTCGTATTGAATTTTGTCATTTTTTCTGCGCACAATGTTATAAATGATGCACAAAAGTATAAAAAAACAAACCTTTTTAGGCTTAAACGCCTGGCTATGCACTGTTATAAATGCTGAACAATTAATTACATGGCATATCATGAGCCAATGGGGTGAGGCTTTCTATAGGGCACATATGTGTGTTGGCTCACTACCGTCTACGGACCATTTTTGTGATTTGCTGTGTTAAATTTTGAATGACAATTTGCTCTATTCAGGGAGCACAGCTAAATTACACAGAAAGTGTAATGCGGAAAACATTGTTTGTGAATATTTATCATGTGAACATTCATCAACGTAATAATTTACCAATACAAGTTGATAAATAACAAGATACGGAGGTCAAAATAGTAAAATTCTTCAATCCGAATGGTATTACACCAGTTATAGGCACTATCTTGTAGACTGGAGTATAGTTCGGGGAAATATTTACATGAGTGTAATTCCCCCATAACACGTATACACGGCTTAGCTGGTACCGTACTTAGTTGGTGCTAAGTCCGGTAAAACTGCGTTCACACGAGATACACGAGATTCGAGGCTTAGCTAGCCAGGAATAATATAGACTGGTACCCGGTCGACAGTTCCACACGCTACACTAACGTCGTGCAGCGAACGGGTACCAGTCTAGGTGAGCAATACGCGGCCAGCGTGGTGCCGAATATACGCGGCTTAGTTGGCGCGGAATATGATTCCGCGCTTAGCAAGCCGAAGCATTCGCGGCTAAGCAAGCCGCGTATATTTTAGCGTGTGAACGCAACTTTTCTCCTCGTGTGAACGCAGCTATAAAGACAACATGAAATTTTAGGACTTTCAACATAAAATAAGTAAATACTCGTTATATACTTTATATAAAAGCTACACAATTATACTCAATTATACTATACTTTATACTACAAACTATAAAAACACATTTACACACGCTTACTAAACTCTGTTGCACACAATTTAAGATCTTTTTGCACTCATTCTGTAATGAGGTTACACCGAGTTGAACAGACACCTCGTTTACATAGGAGCAGTGGGAGGGTAGGGTGGTGCCACTATTCCATATGGTGGGGGAGATGGGCCACTTTGCAGGCCCTGGGGTTGGGCGCTATATTGGTTTGTGTGACGCTGCATTGGCATACCTGTATGAGGCATAACAGTACTAGGTGGAAATGTCTGACCGGCAGGAATATGATAGACAATGGTTCCGGGGGGATAAGCAGTGTTGGGCAAAATAGCTGGCTGTCCAGGCACACCCTGAGGCACCGGGGCATAGTGAACGGTAACCGAAGTTTGAGAAGGCCCAACAAGACAACACACAGCCTTGCAACAAAGAACGGAGGACAAGATAGCTACGACAAACTCTGTCACAGCTATATGCAACAGCAAGACGCAGTATGTTAATCTACCTCCCGTTTCCTCCACTATGAAAATGCTCTCGATTATTATCATAACTCCCGCACCGATGCTTGACAGAATGCTCATCACCATGACCGAAATTATCAGACACTTGTTGGTCTTTTTCCCACTTGCACAAATTCCCAACCCTCCGGCGATGATGAAGAAAGGTGCAAACCATATTCCCATGCCTTTAGTGCCATGGTAATAGTAGATCATGCCGAAGATCACCTCCAGCAATACCGACATTGTTCCACCGGCAACCTACAAGATATGTGAGTGATGATTACCTAGCAGCATACTATATTGATCAATACAAGTCACGTAATTAAGTAGCAGGTGCACATGCCATGCAGTACAAATGCAACATCAGGACAGTTATAAGCCAATAAACCAATTTGGTAATACAACAGATATCTACATTTTCAAAATCAGGACTGGCTGGGTTTTCAAACTCATTTCCAAGCCTGCTCAGAAGTCTTGAATCTGCCACTTCACACCTTAGTGTTCAAATCCTGGCCAGGGCAGTGAATTTTCACAAGGTGTAAATGAACCACTGTGGATGTAAAACACTCGGGCAGTGACCACTCTCAGAGCCATTTGGCTTCGTGTAAACTGGCGAAGCAGAAGACTTATGAAGTCAATGGGCAGTTGCAGTGACCGATGACTACTCCTGGTAGACGACAGGAACTCGACTACAATGGCAGGATTCGTCTGGTCCTATTTAGTTGGAACATTCACTTGTTAGCTGGGCCTGATATAAAACCAGAGTATGTCTGAATGGGAAGACCACAATATGAATGATATAACTCAAAGATACTATAAAAAGACAATTTGAATGCAGCACTATAGCATATATGCATCACAAGCAATGTGATACACCATGCTTTCATTTTATTCAACTGACGTGTGACTGCGAGATCTCAATGTGATTCTAACTTCCTTCATTTTTTCTAGTAGGTACCACGTTTTACAGTTATTAGTAAACTAGAAAGGGCAGTTGTCGCCAACTACATGTATCCCCCGTGTTCTCCCCAAGATGTGTAAGTATACGAAGGTTGGTCACGCTAGGTCAATTAGGGGCCGAGTTACAGAGCGGAAGGGAAATATGATGAAGGTCAAGGTCAATGTCAAATAAAGGTTGAAGTGACCTGGTTTAGGTACGCGACACACCTTTACCTGGTTTTGGTATGCTGCGCACCTTCTCCCCAAGATGTGTAAGTATACCAAGTTTGGTAGCGCTAGGTCAATTAGGGGCCGAGTTAGAGAGCAGAAGGGAAATATGATCAAGGTCAAACTTCTCCCCAAGATGTGTAAGTATACCAAGTTTGGTAGCGCTAGGTCAATTAGGGGCCGAGTTAGAGAGCAGAAGGGAAATATGATCAAGGTCAATGTAAAGGTCAAATAAAGGTCGCAGTGACCTGGTTTTTGTACGCTGCTCACCTTCTCCCCTAGATGTGTAAGTATACCAAGTTTGGTAGCGCTAGGTCAATTAGGGGCCGAGTTAGAGTGAAAGGGAAATATGATCAAGGTCAAGGTAAAGGTCAAATAAAGGTAGCAGTGACTTGGTTTTGGTACGCTGCTCACCTTCTCCCAAAGATGTGTAAGTATACCAAGTTTGGTAGCACTAGGTCAATTAGGGGCCTGAGTTAGAGAGCGGAAGGGAAATATGGTCAAGGTCAAATAAAGGTCGCAGTGACCTGGTCCAGCAACGCCTACTTCGTCGCGGGGATACAATTATCATGTTGGGAGCTTAGTGATTAATGGATGGCTACACTACGCATATCAGTGGTGACTATGTTACATGGTTATTAAAAAGTCATGAAACAGTAAGACGGGTAACTGCTGATACAAGCTTTTACCTGCTCCACTGACACACCGCATCTGCAATCAACCATTTGAGCCCCGGCCTAATCTAAATGTCTATCTATATATTACACACAAAATGTCTTAGACCCTTCGTATTCACAAAAACATGCAATTTTCGAAATAATAGTTTGGTAAACAATCGTTTGCTGTAATCTTGAAACTAGAGCCGGTTCTATGGACTACTAGTAGCGCCGCCGCCATAGTACAGTCTCTCTCCAATGCACTTGTTTTCAATTAATCCCCGACAATTTACAAGTTTACAAATTCTGCAATTATCGCGATAGCAGGCTTTCCAGCAGTCCTTGACAACATTTTAGGGCTAATTTTAGGGAGAAATTCAAGTATTTTTAGGGCTATTTTAGGAAATTTTAGGGATGAATCGAAACATTTTAGGGATAAAATAAGTCGCTTACCTTTTATAAACATCAAGGTGTTAACTTACAGATACAGTTCTATGTGGTATGTGTCCAGTCTACCAGCTATATTCCTATCCTCCAAGTCCTCGATACGACTGTACATTATCAAGTTTCATGCAAATTAGGCATGTCTTGTCCATTCCAGCCAGGAGCAGGGTCGTATAATCAGACACTGAAGCTTAGGAATCACTGGTCGACTGAGTCACAATACTCACTCTGTATAAAGATAACTAGAAAACATCCAAGACGCGTGTTAGTTTAGGAATATTAGTCTCGACAGGGGTGCAGACCGGGTACATGTGCGAACGCACATGTGGTGGTTAGACAGACAAAGCGCTAGGGCCTAGGCAGTTGTATGTATGATTAGTTAGGCAGGGTGAAGTTGTCTGTGATTGGTTAGGAGTGTGGACTTGTTTGCGATTGGTGAAGAGTTTGCATATAAATAGAAATTTGAAGAAAGGTCGGGAGTTCAGTTCTGGCATTCTGGGTGTTAGCGCGTACCGTTAGAGACCTGTATTAGTTGTAAACAATTAATATATTGTTTTAGTAAACACAAAAATTTATACTTCGTCTTTGATTATTTTACTCTAAATTATTTCATTCCAATCTTGGTGTAACTTCAACGCTACAACAAGTTGCAAACGTTCATACACATTTTGTGATTTTTTCTGCTTACCTGGCAAATTGAAAGCCACAATGCGGCTCGTGAGTAATTCACCCCTAGACTTCTGGGCATTGATTGCACAGGTGGTGGTTGCTCCTGAACTTCCACCCGCCCATCCCCCGCAGGTGCCGTTGGGTGATTACCTCCGATGAAGCCACTTTCATCACGCTTTCCATAGCCATAGGGATAAGCAGCTGCTTCAGTGCTCATGTTCACCAGATAGCATTAACCTATATAGGAAGAATTCTCGTATCAGAAAATTCCAGATCACAACGCCATTCACAAATCACAAATGTTTTTGCCATGGGAATGTAAAACACAATTTCTTAAGAGGTGACGTGTCCTGGAACACATTAATGAAATGATGGGGAACAGGTCATGCTAACTTCATGCTGCTGCTCAATGAACATGCTCCTCCTGATACAGATGCAATAACACAGCACGTGCTATGGAAAAGGACGAGTACAGGTAACTCTCAATTAACACATTTTGGAGTGAAGTGATTGGTCAATTTACAGCTTATATTTAGCACAACATAATTGGCAAAAAGTGATCACAGATAAACGCCATATAGTTTACTGGACTGGCTGATGTCCACTACACTGCCACTGTATTATAGAATAAATAGATGAAGATTGTGAATCTTCAGGCAGCCAACTAAAAGAACAAGCAAACAAGAGCATAACACCAGTCCTTTGTTAACAGTCAACAAATCCATGTTTAACCCTCCTCTTGAAAGTCAAAAGGTTATCCGACACTTACTCTTCGCATGCCAGCGGAAAGTACATTTCATGGTCCTTTCAATAAAGCCATGAAAATGGTAGGTCACCGCGCGCTGAAACAAAAAAGTTTTCCAATCGCTCCGTCAGACCATGTCCTCAGAAAATGTCTAAAATCTGCAATAGCGTATGCGGCAGGAGTGGGCGGGGTCTATTTTTATCCTCCAATCACAGGTCGGAGCAATTCCTCTGTTTAGACGCATGTCGAACAAACGGCAAAAACTCCTGCTATTGCTTTTAAACAACAGCCTGCAAAAACTATCTATGTATATTGTATAATGATAAGATAATAAAGTCAAATATACGAAGAAAATTATCAATATCATGTACTGTACGGCAGTCTACGTCTTGGCTAGCATTATGGGTATTTATGTAATCGTAATGTCACGTGCCGATGGAAACGGCTGCGATTGGCTATTTGTATAAAGTGTCGCGGGCGGCAGTCGCTGGAAAATAGAAACGTTTCTAAATATTTTTGTCGTCGAGGTTGTCGCTGGTCGTTGTCGCGTGTGACGTTGTGAGCAATGGCTCATAGGAAACAATAGTTTCTAATTATCTGAAAAGTCGTTTGTCGTTACGGTCGGTCGTTGTCGCTGCAGTGTGTCTTGGCCTTTACCCTATACTCATATCGCATTAGCCCGACCAGGCTGTGCGACGGATTGTCTATACGGTACGTATTCTAACCCTAGCTTCTTGGAGCTAATATGATAATATCGCATGTACAAATTAAGAATAAAAGGTCGACAAGTTTGGGACACAATTAGTATTTACTCAATGACAATTAAATCTGTACCATTCAATCACAGTTCAAAGTCATCTAGAGAATCTACTACACTGTTTCCACAATCTTTGACAATGTTTAACAGAGCTTAAATGGATGAAATTCAAGGAATATTTACCTTCGGACAAAAATTAAAAACCTGGCGCCATTCGGTTCCACAACCACGGTACCACGCTAGCTGCCTCGTTTCTCAGAATATTTAGGAACGAGTGCGAAACTAGAACACTGAGAGGTGCTGCCATCTAGACCGATAAGATGTAACTAAACGCAATCATGAATTTTGGCACAGTACTGCCACATGTAAGTCAGATATGGAGAAAATTATAACGTTCACGTCGTGACTGACGTGACACTAAATTAGCATGCTCACTACTCCGGTTATTTTTCTTACAGTGTTTGAAAGCAACCTCTCCAAATAATAGGCATTGATTCTGGTTAAACTAAAGATTACTTTGGCATGTTAATTTCACTTTTCCATTGATGAATTGTAGCTAGAATATGGGATAATCACTCACTCTAGGTACAAAATTAATAATACAAATTAGAACATTTTCACATTTAAATGAATTACGGTGAAATTCGAAAATCAACACTGCCATATGTTAGTAAAAAGTTGTTTTCAAATAACTTATATGAGTTTTTTTGCAGTTGCAAACATCTTTTGCTCTGAACTATTGAATTTAGATTTTACTTATATATATAATCCCTCCAGCGTGGAATTGCCCAAGACAGTAACTTCAATTTCAGTAACTTCAATTTCTTACACTGCAGATTGGAATCACACCGGGGAAGTGTTTAAATTTGGTTATTGTTGCAGTGCAGATGCAGGGATTTTGAAAGTTTTTTTTTTAACCCGGCGCGACACCACATGGGGTCACATTATGACAGATGTTTGATAATAATTATTCTATCTGAATAAGTGAATTGCTGAGGATGGATGGCCTGCTAAATAATGGGCGCGTTGCGAAGCCAAAGACCATATAGCCGTGCATCGGCATACAGGTGTTGTCGTTCATCTGTGTGCGTGATAGGTTTAGCAAACCATATTTGGTATGAATACGAAACGTGTTTATAAACCGCCGGTCAAACGCGAGGCTTGTTTTTTGAGCCTCGTAGCGCCTATGGTGGGTCATATACTGTATTCGCATTAATATTTCGATAACGATTGAGGGGACAATTAAATTTACTATATGTACATCGACATACATGTGTTGTCGTTCATCTGTGTGCGTGATAGGTTTAGCAAACCATATTTGGTATAAATACGAAGCGTGTTTATAAACCGCCGGGCAAACGCGAGGCTATATGCGTGGTCATAGCGCCTATGGCTGGGGTCATAAAGTGTATTCGCAATAATATTTCGATAACGATTACGGGAAAGATTAAATTTACTATATGTATACATCTACCCACACGTGTTGTCGTTCATCTGTGTGCGTGATGGCTTTAGTATATTATGTTTAGTATGAATACGAAGCGTGTTTATATCGACCGCCGGTCAAACGCGAGGCTCAAAAAATGAGCCTCACAGCGCTATAGGCGGCGTCATGAAGTGTATTCGGTTAAATATTTCGATAACGATTACGGGGAAGAATAAATTTACTATATGTACATCTACCCACACGTGTTGTCGTTCATCTGCGTGCGTGATAGCTTTAGTATATTATGTTTAGTATGAATACGAAGCGTGTTTATATCGACCGCCGGTCAAACGCGAGGCTAAAAAAAAGGAGCCTCATAGCGCTACAGGCGGCGTCATGAAGTGTATTCGGTTAAATATTTCGTGTGGTCGTTCATCTGTGTGCGTGATAGGTTTACAGTGACCTGGTTTTGGTAGCGCTAGGTCAATTAGGGGTCGAGTTATAGAGCGGAAGGGAAAATCTCTGCAGCGGACCGAGTGGCGGCGGCGGCTGTACAGACATGAAACCATAGTATCCCCGCCGACTTCGTCGCGAGGGATACAATCAATTCGTTTTTAAAAAGAGGGCAAATTAAAGTGTTCATGAGAGTTGACATTAACAATTCTACTGTCAGACTTTAGCAGGGGCGGATCCATGCAGGGGGTGCGCACCCCCTGCCCCTTCCCACGCAAAGTGCCCTTTTTGCAAAAGTTGCCTTATTAAAAAAACGGTATGTTTTTCCGCTCGGCCTGTATCTGACAAGTATTTCACTCAGTCGGACCCGATCAAGCCCTCGTTTTTCTTAGAATATATATATATTGGTCGGGCCCAGGAGTCGGGCCATACCATGCTGAAATTCAAAACGGAAAACCTAGGTCCAAAACTAACTGCTGCCTTTCTTAAAATGATGTTAGCAATACACTGGCGCCACTGTACGGTCGCCTGTATAGATGCACTGGATGAGTTACATTATTATATTGCCAAATGCACGCATTTCAATCAGCTATGCCAAAAGCTCACATTAATAACTTATGAACCGCCTTATTGGCTTCGCCACCAAAAAAGAGTCCCTTTTTACAAAGCTTGCACTCCCTCCTTCCTAAAATCCTGGATCCGCCCCTGTTTGGACTCCACAACAATTTTGGAGGACAGGTAAGGTCGGACTGAATAAATCATGTGATAATTTCATGAAATGCAAGTATTTTTTTGTAAACTTATGTAAAAAGGCATCCTGACATGTTCATTCATGTTAAAAACACACATAGTCATTAATACTTGTGTTATTAAACAAGAAACACAACAATTTACCCACCCAAAATTTTCTGCTACACACCGACGTAATTTTAATATTGGCATCAAGAGGCTGCTGAAGGCTCATGCATGGGAGTATAAATAAATTCTCGTAAATCTTTATATATATATGCAACAGTCTAGATAATTTAGTATAACAAGTGCCGCAGAGCGACAGCGCTCATCTAACGTCTACTGCAGTGACTCTGTGGTGGAGTGGTGGGATTCTAGTAAACCCTGCTAGTCCCAAATGTGTTCACATACACGCCGAAACAGTGGAATGCACAGAGATGGTATCAGGAACCTTCTCAAAAGAATGTTCGTTGGGATCGTTATGAAAGTTGCCACGAGATGGCGCAGTGTGCGCGACGCAGTGTGGTTTGTAGTCTGATGTGGGAGAGAGAAGAGAGAGAGAGAGAGAGAGAAGAGTGTTGGGCGCAGCGTGTGTTTGTGGAGTGTGTGGGACGACGAGAAGACGAGGAGAGAGACAGAAGAGGAGAGGAGAGGAGAGAGAGAGAGAGGAGAGAGAGAGGAAGGAGAGAGAGAGAGAGAGAGACAGAGAGAGGAGAGAGAGGAGAGAGAGAGAGAGAGAAGAGAAGAGAGAGAGAGAAAGAGAGAGAGAGAGAGAGAGATGAGGAGAGAGCGAGAGAGTTGCGGAGACCCAGTCTTAAAATATGAAAGTAAATTAATAAGCAGATCGAATTACTAAAAGTTCAGTGATGAAAATAATTCTGTTTGTGCAAATGGGAGGGATCGGAAGAGGAAAATCTATGATTTAGCGCTAATCAACAATTAATTGCCATTATAGAGTCTGCATTTGCTAATAAGCGCTTATGACAACTAGCTTAGAAATCCTGGATAGGCAGTAATAATGGCTGGTCATTGCCCACGGAAGGTGTGCGGATTTAAGTCACGCAAAAAGTACATACAAAACTAAAGACAGTGAACAACGAAAGCTGTTTTTAGTTTTCCTGAGACGAATTTTATTATGTTATTTTTATTTCAGGGCGCAGTTTGCTCAGGAACCTATAATTGCAAAACTAATCGGAGAGGAGCAAACGGAGATCAGAGGAGAGAACAACAGAGGAGGAGGCACAGGCAGAGTAGAGAGAATCACAGAAGAGGAGAGACTGAGTAACTAAGAGGAGAGAGAGGGCCCCCCCCAAGCAGCAGACAGGATGCAGCGCAACGACAAGGCTCAGAACAAATCAGGCGAAACATGAATGGTGAGGAAAGTTTTGATTAGGCAGTGAAATAAGCAACATCTATTACCAGACTGAGAAAAACAACTGACGGAGGGTAGGAGGTGCATTCCGGTTCAATTTAGAAAAAAAGGACCTATGAATCCATTGTATATGATTTTCAAATTTAAAGAATATGATTATCACATACGATACATTAGTAATATAATTCTTTGTAGATACAAGGGCATAACCACACGCACAGAGGCGAGAACTTTGATTAGATACGACATAATCAACCCAAAGTAGATGAATGAGACATATGGTAGACCAAAGCGACCCGGGCCAGGGGGTCTCGAGAGTAGCGGGCAAAGAACTTAGCCTAATATAAGGCGCAACTAATATAAGCTATGCTAGTAATTTAAAATAGTAAGAAATAAGCAAGAATTAAAATATCTCTTTGATGGTAAGTATGGTCCTGGTCGCACTGACACGAAAAATCTCCCCAATCGAGCTAAGAAGTACTAATAGCAGTATATAAAATAGGAAGGGATTCGTACTGGCTCGCCAGCGCTCGACTAAGAAAGAACCAAACTCTATAGGGCCATATCTGGTGCGATTGGTCTGGACCGTAATCCTTGTCCCCCGTCGATGCAACACGGCCGGAGCTTTTGGCAATGACTATGTCAGGGCCCTCGCATTTTATCCATACAATAAAGGTTCAAGCTATACAAAAGGCATGTGAGATCATGGACTGGGACCATAGGGCTCTGGCGAACTGCTCCTTGTGAGCGGCGTAGTCAGTGTTCAACACCATCATCGTTGAGCACATTATACACAATGACAAAAGGTCTCTCGACACGGCGTGGATCGTCCCGTCAAAAGAACATCGGGTAGGAACACATTGCCTCTTGCTGTATCAAGGAACCAGGAAGAGACTAGTCAATAAGGCACGTTACGAAAGTAGTAATGCTTTGAAGACTTGTTTATCCTGTTCGCAGACACTTTTCAACGTTGTACATAAAACATTTTTTTATTCTGGTGCCAAACCTTTTAAGTGTCCTGTGACATCGTGGGCATGGTAAACGTGGCTGTACAACTGTAACAATTCAAAATTCAACCTATTAGAATAAACTACGCTACAATATTAGATCAGTCAGGATGGTAGAATGAGGATTTTAATCGAGATTTGTAGATTCATAGAAGTACATTGTATTTTTAAGCAACGATCGTAGCTAAGGCAACGTAGAGACATACTCGTCAGAAATACATAAATCATTTTTAATGAGTCGTAGATTTGGAAGATATGTTTTTAAGTGAACCATTTAACGAAAGTAAAGGGTGTCGGCCGAATGTAGAGATAAAAAAATGAATTTATTTTTAGTATAACCTACTTCCTTTTGCGGAAATAATGTATTCTTCCATTCACGGATTGTGCCCGCAAGCTAGTTTGATAGTATAGGACTTTGTCGACTTGAGAACTAGCAGGGCCGCTACGCGGCTGGGCTGCATGTTTTGCCCAAGATCTGTCACTGAGCAAACCAATCACGATGTAACTACATGTAGGCACGAATTATTGTTGCATGTAAATGACATGTCAACACTGTAGTAGATAATCGTGGATTTGGTTAGAATTGAACCAACATAATTTAGTCCATGTATCGTTAGCGTCGCATAAATGTGGTGTGGTGGGGTGTCAAATATTGGAATTTAAATAATCTTTACGTTGTTTTTCTATACTATGTGCAAATGAAATGAAACCTATTACTACTTTGGTTAGCAGCAAGAAAGACTTGTGTAATAATTTTTTCTTTGCCCAGAAAGTTGAGCAAAGGTAGTTTATAACGATGACGCTCTAGGAGGTGGAGCGAACTTGCACTGTGTGGAAGGCAGTGACTCGGCGACAAAAAGAATAGATAAGGGGTAGTAGAGTATTATCTGATCTGACAGGTAGTACGCTTGCTGGGGCGCTGACTTTTTGTTCTTGTGACTAGATGCTTGCTTGAACTTGAAATGTATTTAGTAGAGCAACACGCATATAAAGAATGGACTAAGGAGTACTGTATTAGAAAAAGTGATCTGAAAATATTACAGTAAGTAACTAGCATACAGAGGAAAGCCCAGCGAGGTGCTGTCCAGCCTGGCCGATGAGACCCGTCACTTTGCAGGGCGCGGGCACAGATAACAACCCCCCTCAGTTGATATCAAATCAGACACACGATCATCTGGTTACACACAGAACGCATGTTTAGGAAGGAAAGGAGTTTAAAAGTTATCGTGCAAGGGGACGAGGGCGTGCAGAATGGGAGCGGTGAATATTATTCTTTTCTGCAAAAAAGAGCCCTTTCGTCGTGACGTGACGTCAGGAAGTCTACTCAACACGATCCAGTGCTGTAGATATGAGTGACTCCAAAATGTGTATGTACGAGATTGAGCATGAGGAGTATCTGATTAGACTCCCTGGATGTGGGACGTTCGGTAAGCAAGTGGGAATGAGTGGTGCCGGGCCTGATTTCTGACACTTGGAACACAATAGTTAAGATAATGGAAGTACAATATTTACTGGATTTTTGATCGTCATAGTATGGTACCCCAGGTTTGACAAGATGCAAGACAAATCTACAAATATTATTTGGTTCAGGTGCAATGAGAGGGGGGAATACTGTACTGAAATATGGAAGGAGCCGCGTAGAACCAATAGAGATGGAGAGATGTAGCCAATAGCAAAAAAACTGTACCTTACCGACCGCGAAACAAGGGACTGCCTGACCGAGAGCGGAGCGCATGGATAACTAGATACAACAAGCCTATGCACGCTGACTTTGCCTGACATCGCAGTGCTGTTAAGAGGACCTATCGACACCTGTGCAATTACTTCCATAACAGTGCATCTGAGCCATCACGACTGACCACTCCTCACTGCAGCCAGACACTGGGATTGCATGGTTACAATAAAAGATTTTGGCAAAATCTAACAGGTTGGTGTAAACAATAAAGAGTACTTTTTCTTCTCTTACTGTATTTCATAAGCTTGCGAAAACGAATTTGGCGAGAGGTTTTTCCATGGCGATCGTTTGCGATTCTGCTCAATAGCGAATGTACAGTCTATGAAGTCCTGGATATTCGTTGGCCTCATAACTAAACGTTTCGTTTAAATGTCCTAACTAGGTCTTCACTGCCCCGGCCATAAACAGGCAACGGGCGGTTCACAGAGAGAGCAGACATGCATGTCTCTGCCAACCCAACTGTCAGAATCGCAGAACGTGCTGTAAATTGCGCGAAAATTTGAAACGTAAGTTGATTAATTTACTGCATATCAAGTTGAACGCAGCTGATGTGGGACGTTCGTCTATATCTAGGTCGCCTATGGGCCCCGTGCTAGAAATCTAGTGTCTGAGTTATCGCATTGGCCGAGTTATATTCCGGTAGATAGTCCATTGGTCCGAGAGAGAGAGAGACGAAAGAGAGAGAGGAGAGAGAAAGAGCGAGACGGGAAGTTAGAGAGAGAGAGAGCGAGAGAGAAGAGCGAGAGAGAGAGAAGAGAGAATGAGAGAGAGAGAGACGCCGGAGGGAGGAGCGGAGAGGATAGAGACGAGAGAGAGAAAGAGATGACGACGCCAACAATAAGGAGAGCATAGGGACAGGAGAGAAAGAGAGAGAAGTATGCAGAGAGATCGAGAAGAACGGGAGAGCGCGCAGCGAGAGAGAGGAGAGAGAGAGAGAAGAGAAAAAAGAGAGAGTAAGAGAGAGAGCAGAGAGAGAGATGAGAGAGAGAGAAGAGGGAGAGTAGACGAGAGAGAAAACCAGGAGGCGAAAGAGCAGCAGATGGTAGGAACAAACGACGCGCATTCGACAGAGGAACGGAATACGATGCCCAGAGACAAAGACGACCACAGACACAGCCAGACGCAGAGACCCACGACGACGCCACATTGCACGATGAGGCGATGCCTGGCAGCCCGACCACCGAGAAAGAGCGCGCCACTCGAGAGAAGGACGGGACAGCAGAGACGCGGAGGCAACGACGAGAAGACGGAAAAGAGACGAGACAGACGACGAGAGAGAGAGAGCAGACGAGAGAGAGAGAGAGCAGACTGACAGGAGAGAGAGAAAAGAGAGAGACGGAGGCGTGAGAGAGTACGAGAGATAAGTAGCTGAGTATGAGAGAGAGAGAAGTTAGATGTTTTTAGACACAAGAAGCGGAGAAAAAGATCGAGTTAGGAGAGTAAGAGAGAGAGAGACGTACTTCATGAGATGCAAGACAGAGAACGAGAAGAGAGAAGATGAATTCCGAGATAGTAACGGAAGGAGTTATGAGGATATGAGGAGAGAGAGTAAGAGAGGCAAGGGTACCTAAGTGAGGAGGAAAGAGGGAGGAAGAAGGAGAAGGCTGATATTTAGGCTGGTACCGAGAGAGAGAGGATGGAGAGAGGGATTA